CTGACTGGATGGATCTGCAACAGCAGTAAAAAGGCTAAAACATGCCAAAACAACAGGTCGTCCTTTGAGCACACCGGTGGCAACCACCTGTGAGCTCACTGTGTGAAATGTCACCTCATCAGTTTATTTGACAATGGCATTATTTACCTGGAACTATAGTAATTATTCATTTTATCCACATCTCCCCTCTTGAATCAATTTTCCGCTCTTCCCACACAAATCATTTTGTGCGACTGAGCACAGGAGAGATATTTAGTTTGGTTGCATTAAAATGCGTGCGTTGTTTACTACCACCGAGTCTTTTGTCTTGAGAAATAACTGTAAAACAAAAGCAATAAACTGCATCATGAAGTTGAGCCAGAAGGTAGATGGAAGCAATTTAAAATACTCAGTATCACAATATAACTGGAAGTAACATTTTGCTGTTGCACACAGATTGTGTCTCAGAAGGGATGGCTGTAAAGACATCTGAGTGACATCTGAGGATTACCCAATGGCAGCTCAGTGGCTATAAAGAGGACAGAACCCAGACTCCAATACAAGGAGGGGGCACTTTGAAGTGGGGATTAGGGTATGAGCTTTGCACCCAGAGCTTCTGAGGCACTGCCCTCTCCACCTCAGTCAGAGCATAAAGATGCGGTGTGGCAGCTTTGCTGACTGGACACTGCTCCAGTTCCGCCTGTCCAATTAGCAATTTCTCCTACCCCTGAGGACTGGTCCCTTTCTGCTTGGCTTAGCTCACTGCATGTGGGCCAGATCACCTACATGTACAGTACCACTCTGTGTAACCATAGTAATGCTTGTTGTACTCGGTGCTGCTACGCACTAAGAGCACTCCACGCTAAAGACTTTGTACTTTGATATGTGCTGCAAGTTCTTCCTCGTCATACCCTTAAATATCCATATTTAACCTGCTGCGCAACTTGATCTCTGTTGTCCTCTTCAGTGGAAGGGTTTATTGCAAGCTCATTTACACCATCATTGTCACTACTCGACCCCAGTACATAGTGCCATCTATTTTCTCTTTTATGTGCATATAAAAGAGATGGCCACTGAAATCCCAAACAAACAAGCGACTTTCAAGTTCAAGAGTCCTCTGACTTCTAAAGGCCTCTGATCAAAGGGTTCAATGGCTTGTTCAGCTGACTTGTCACTTATACTGAGTGGTGCCATTTTAGATGTGATTCATCACCCACCATTTGGAAATATTTTTCATTCCTTACCTAGTTAAATATAGTAAAGATGACTGTATGTGACATTGGTTCTCATTGAACATCTAGTGATATTGTCTCCTTATTCCAGTTTCAGCATACAAACACAGTTTTATCTTTCACCTTACTTTACATGTCACCTGCTGCAATATTTCAAGCTAAAAGATTTGTTCAAGGGGAAAGATAAATTGAATTTCCTGAGTGCTGTGATAGACTGTATGTAGTGCATGCTTCTCTTACTCTAATGATGCCTCTTTTTCTCCACAGCCATAGTGCTAAAATATTTGCATATCTCCCTAATACCTCAACACAGTGTATTTCTTTTTATTCCTTTGAACCGCCTGCGCACAGAGTGCTTCTCTGTAGCTTCTAAAAAAGGAAATTATATTCCATGAAGTGGGAAGCAGAATCCAGTTGTCCATTACTGAGAGCAGTAACGTGGCCTCTTTGGATGCTACATTTTATTTGGAGGCTTTTTACTCCCTTAGCTCTCATGACTGACACAGATCATAAACCATACCACCCCCGCCCCACCCCTTGACCTTCAAAGAACACAGGACGTAGGGCCCTACATCAGCTGCTGGCTTTCACGGATCCACCTGACTCTCCAAGCCCTTCAGAAAAAATCAGACCATCCATCACTGAGCCACTTAGCACTGAGGCTACCATAGATGCCCTTAGCTGAAGACCAGTTCAGCTTCCTTTATTTAAGATCCATCAACTCAACTTTATTGACCTATCTATGAATATAAAGAGTGTATAGCCTGTGTCTATTTCTGAACATATATGTATAGAGATATTCATCATTCAGGAGTTGGTTGTGTTTCGCTGACCCGCTAACGCTCAGGAGGGCATGGACGTGCTTTTATACCATTAGTAGTCTCTTTGACTGGAGATAAATAATAGGAGGACACTTATAATGACTGTTACGCTGATTGTATCTGTACCTCCACAATCAGAACAAGATCAATCAAGTTGGATCGAGTCAGGAGATAAACTCTTGCAGTGTGTGTTGTTGAAGATGTTTAGGATTCTTCTGTTAGATGGTGCAGGGTCATGGGCAGATTTCCATCAACCACAGAGAGCGGAGTTTAGTTCCCACTGGCGGTAGCTGCCAGAGGACTGCAGTGCCTCTCCACCTCAGTCATAGCATAGCCAACCAGAACGATGGAGACAGTCAACAAATTAATTTAAGAAGTAGAATAAAGTGGGGTTTTTACAAAACAATAGCAAGGCGAGTCTGACATTTGGAGAAACTGACACAGTAAAATAACTTGTTTTGACCTGCGGGACAGGAGGAGGCACAACATCTTTATTGTGCAGGTGGTAATGATCACAAATCTACCAGGAGTGGTTATAAGAAAACCAACCTGCGAGGGGCTCTTGTACCACAAGTGACGAGATGTGCATGGAATGTTGAATGATCCAAACTTGATAAAGAGTGTTAACCTTTACAGTCTCATTACATTTTATTTTTTTTAACCGCTAGTAGTGCTATAGAATAATGTTTTTATGACTGGTTCCACGTTTTGTTTGCACACGGCTGATACACATGGCTACCAGTTGTTTCACGCTACTCCACTGATTTACAGGTGGCAGTAATACGCCAAGAAATGCAGCAAAGGGAAGACTAGCAATTAAGGATGGATGTAAATAATACAGGTTTCAAACTTTTAAGAAAAATCGGCTTGATGATTTATGAGAAAGGAAAGACATTTGGTGAAGTAACACTGAATGTAAACAAAAACTTTGTTTCCAAAGAAACTCCTCAGTGCACCTTTAAGAATCATCAATCAATCTCTGGCCAGTCTTAGAGGTTATCTATATTGGTTTTCCTCAGTTTCTGTCATATATATATATATATATATATATATATATATAATGTTATGCATGTTATAATGTTGGATGCCAAGGTCAAAGTGTCAAATAATGAGGTAAATGTGTGTAAATACTAATCCCTGAGTTCAGACTGGTCTTATGCAACGTTTACATATTTTTAAACTTTATGTAACGTTGGCTCATAAAGGATTTCTTTGTATGTTTCTTCAATACAGTTTCATTGATCTCTCTGTTCTCTGCTGATGAAGGTGTTTATTTTAGAGAACTCACATACAGTAAAATCAGCTCCTGTATCATTTCCTTGGCTATAATTTCTGTGGTTGCCATGGCCACGCAGCGAGCCATAGCGTCAAGTTGAAAAATTTGAACTATTATGAACTCCATTAACACCATGTACTATGATGAGAGAATGACAGATACACGTATGTGGAAGGAGAATATATGTGTGTGAGAGGACCAGAGTGAATTATGGCGTGTATGGCCCCTCATACACTTTATCTTGGTTTTACTGAAGACTCTCTGCACACCTGAAGTCAGCTGCACTGCAAACTCTCCCTGCAGAGTATGTTGTTGTTTTCCACCCACAACCCAAGATTTTTTTTTGTGCCATTTCCATACAAATTTATAACTGGTGGTTCTTTTTTGGTATAGTCACACTCTTGAATTTGTGTTCTCATGGGATTTTAAAAGATTTTCTAGCAATAGAAGCCTTATCATCATCTTCCCATTGTTAAGTTTGCTGTCCATGGTCTTAGCTGTTCTGTATGCACCCCATCTTTTCTAACTGCAAGTGGCCTCAGGTGTCACGCTGACTTCAAAACAGCAGTTGAGGCTAGGGGAAGACTGTGGAATACAATGCTGATCCCATTCTTATTTTCCATATGAAACAAGTTTACCTGCCAATGTTCCTCCTTTTTGAGCTGGTCTGTTCCCAGAGGACATGACGAGGTGGAGAATAAAGCGAAGATATGATGGAGGAGTGAGATGAAAAGGCCAGTTGTGACAAGCAGAGGAAGGGAAGGAGACAGCAATTGGGGAAGAAGACAAACCCAGTTGCTGAAAGGAAAGCATGGCTGTTTGTCAGTGTTTGTCACTCAGCTGTGTGAAAATGCATCCTGACACCCGTTTATCACTGTATATTTAGTAATCAGAATTGTTGGAAGGAAATCAAAAATTTGAATACATTAGCATCTTCCCCGCTGTGCAAATATCAAAGCTCAATGAGGTTTTATATCCTTGTCCTCTTAAGTGAAGGCCATTGAATTGTTTAAATGTGAAGAACGTGCAAATCTGAAATGCAAAGTGCTTACAAGTTTAGATCCACTTATTGTCGGTATCATAACCAGCATGTAAACAGACGCAGGCGCAGGTGTGAATCGTCTCACACACGCACATACTGAGACACATGCGAGCGGCAATAGATGATGTTTTTTATGACTCTCTTCCAGAGCCACCTCTCTCACTGGGCATCTACTGATACCCATTAATCATGAGCTCTCTTGTATTGTCAGCCCAGCCTCCCCTCCTCTCTCCTCTTCTTCTTCCATTCCCCCCTTCACTTTCAGCCTGTCAGTTAACAAGCTGTGACACCATGACAGTGATGTGTGTGCAACTGAGTGATGCCTGGCTGCAGCCCTTATTGGAAAGGTATTGAAATGCTCCGGCACGAAAGGGCTAGTGATGAGATTGTATTTCTCAGCTCCTTATGACAGAATGTAAAAATGGCAGCTCTCGCTATTCAATTAGACGTGGAGGGAGAAGGCCCAGCTTTCTTTGGGGTTGCCCGTCCTTTTGACAACATGATTTACTGTGGCATACAATCAGCTCTGTAGCAAAACTCCCATGTTTTTATTTTACACAATGAAGAAAAATTTCTCCATGTGTGCAAAAAAGCATCACTCATTTTGTCTTTCTGCCTCCCTGTGTATGTGTGTGTGTTTGTGTGTACAGGCTCAGTGTCCCTCAGTGTGTTCCTGGTCTCCCTCGCAGTGACAGTGTGTGCTGTTTGGCTGGTGGCTCTTTGTGGCGTCTGTGGTTGGTGTCAACGCAAGCTGGTGAGTTTACACACACACGCGCACACACAC